TTTGTGTGTTCTTGGATTTTCGGAAAGGGAAGTTTGGTTGGATTGCACTCGAGAGTCCCCCAGATGATGTTTTATTGGGACGACTTGGTGGTAGGCAAGTAGTCAGGCCTTAAGGTCACTCTATAGATATCAAAAGAATCCAAAATTGCTGCAAACACAAGTTAAGCATCTTCATGGAGTATCAAAGTCTAGGCAAGTGAAGATGCCGGTGCCACGAAGGATACAAACTATTAAGGACAAAAGTGTAAATATCTCTTCAAGAGATATATCTTAGAGACTAAGTAATTGTTACAGGTTGTTAGGACAGTTAGTTTTTTTTGTTAGACTTGTCTTACATGTATATATACTCAAGGTGTAATATTATTGAGGTTAAGGAAATGAAAATATATTTTTCTAATATGGTATCACCGCCTTTTTTGGTCTAACGACCGCCTCTCCTTTTTCGATCCAAACTCTTCCGCTTCCCGCTTTGATCTTCTTCCCCGATTTTTCTTCTTTCTCTTTTCCCAACTTCAAACCCTAGCCATGGCGACTAGTGCATCTCCGTCCTCTGATGCCGATTCTCATCGCTCTTCCTCCACCTCTTCTGCAATTACATCCATTACGATTCAAAATATTGGATCTCTGGTCCCGATTAAGCTCACTACTACGAATTATCTGACATGGCGTGCTCTTTTTGCTCCGATCTTCCGTCGGTATAATCTCACTGGTTTGATCGATGGATCCATGGCGGCACCACCTCAATTTCTTCCTGATGCCTCCGGAAATTGTACTACGACATTGAATCCGAATTTTGTGACTTGGTTCGAGAATGATCAGAACATTCTCATTTGGTTAAATTCAACACTCTCGGAGTCTCTCATTTCCTACACCGTTGGTGTTACCTCTGCTCGTGAGCTTTGGGCAAAATTGGAATCCCGCCTTGCCACCGCCTCTCAGTCGCATATTCATGAGCTCCGATCTCGCCTTCGCAATCTTTCCAAAGGTGAATCCACGGCTGCTCAGTATCTTCAGAAAATTGAAGAAATTGTTGATGCTCTTGCCAGTGCCGGTGCACCGGTTGATGATTCTGATCTCATCTCTATCACTCTGCATGGCCTGCCTCCTGAATTTGATTCGTTTGTTGATGCGATACAATTTCGCCTTGGATCTACAACGATTGATGAACTTCATGGCCTCTTGATCAGCAAAGAAATTCAACTCAACAATCGCAAGCCTTTGTCATCTGCGCCCCCTTTTCAGGCTTTCTCATCCTCCCCTGGTATTCTGCCCACACCGCCTCAAGCATTCACTGCTCAGAATTTTGCAAATTCCACAACCGCCAGCCGTGGTGTGGATCGAAATTCAAGGAATTACTCCTCCAATCGAGGCAACTTTCGTTCAAACAACAATAACAATCAGCGGCAATTTTCGTATCGCCCAAATCAGAGGCCAACCTATCATAATAATCGTGGAGGTCGTCACAACTTTCAATTTTCTAGCAAGAAAGTTCCTTGTCAAATCTGTCGCCAATTTGATCATGAAGCTTGGGACTGTCCTCATCGCATGAATGCACATTATGGTGTGAAATCCTCTTCCTCTGCAATGGTGGCGAACACCTCTACTTCTGCTCCTACTTGGATTGTAGACTCATGGGCTACATCTCACATGATCAATTCTTATGGCAATCTTCAGAATCCAGAAGCATATACCGGACCTGAACAAGTTTATATTGGCGATGGAAAAGGTTTATCCATATCTCATTCTGGCTCTTCTCTTTTGCCTACTGCACATCATAAGTTTCGTTTACAAAATGTGCTTCATGTTCCTGATCTTAAGCACAATCTACTTTCTGCAAACAAATTTTTAATTGACAACTGGTGCTCAATGCATCTTTATCCTTTTCACTTCACTGTGAAGGATCTTTCTTCGGGGAGGACGCTTTTTAAAGGTCCTGTCAATGAAGGTTTCTATCCTTTTCATCCTGCTTCATCCTCTGCTGTGCATCCCAAGGCTTTGACTGCAACTGTTAAGGCTTCAAATACTGTGTGGCATCAACGGTTGGGCCACCCCTCTGTGAAGATTTTGCATAAATTGGCTGCCAATTCTTGTATTTCCATTTCAAATAGTAGAAATAAGGCTTTTTGCTCAGATTGTGCATTAGGCAAGTGTTCTAGACTTCCTTTTGTATCTACTCCTTGCACTACAAGTAAACCTCTAGAACTTGTTCACACGGATGTTTGGGGGCCAGCACCTGTGTCTTCTCTTAATGGTTCTAGATACTATGTACTGTTTGTGGATGATTACACCAAGTACACTTGGTTTTTCCCTTTGAAATACAAATCTGATGTCTTCTCTGTGTTTGTGCAATTCAAGACTCTTGTTGAAAACTTTCTGTGTACTAAACTCATTGCTCTAAGATCTGATGCTGGAGGTGAGTTCATGAGTACTTCGTTCTCTCAGTTTTTAGTGGATAATGGCATTCAACATCAACTTAGTTGTCCTCATACACCTGAGCAGAATGGGTGTGCCGAAAGGAAACATAGACACTTGGTTGAAACTGCAAGGACTTTGTTGGCAGCTTCTCATGTACCTCATTTCTATTGGGTTGATGTTTTTGCCACTGCAATTTATCTCATCAATCGATTACCTACGGCATCAAAATCTTCACCTTGGGAGTTATTATTTCACAAAGTTCCAAATTACAGTACTCTTCGAGTGTTTGGCTGTGCTTGCTTCCCTTGGTTACAACCCTATTCTCCTTCCAAGCTACATCCAAAGAGCAAGTTATGTCTTTTCTTGGGTTATAGTCTACATCATAAAGGATACAAATGTCTTGACCCAGTGACCAAGAGAATCTACATATCTCGGCATGTTCTCTTTGATGAAACTCGGTTTCCCTGTCAACATCCTTTAGTCCCTGCTCCTACCACTACTCATCCATCTCCTTCTTCGCACATCCCATCCTCTCTCACATTTACTACTTCCATTTCCTCTCCTTCTTCTTTATCCCTTCCTGCTGCATCACCACTCTCTCCACCCTCTCCTCCACCTTCTGCCTTATCCTGATCTCAGCAACCCCCTTCCCTCTCCACAGAATTACAAGTTTCCTCCCCTCCTCCTCAACCCTTACCATCTTCCTTACCTTCCTCTAATCATCACCAGATGCAAACCCGGTCCAAATCTGGAATATTCAAACCCAGGGCATTCACAGTCACAAAGCATCCAATTTCCACTCATGTCTCTCCTGATTATACTCCTCATACCTACCTGCAAGCATCCAAACATCCTCACTGGCGCAAAGCAATGCAAGACGAGTATAATGCTCTTCTCAGCACAGGTACATGGTCTTTAGTCCCTTCTATATCATCTCACAATATTGTAGGCTGCAAGTGGGTATTCAGAATAAAGAGGAATCCGGATGGGTCTATTGACAGATACAAGGCCCGATTGGTTGCAAAAGGCTACAATCAACAGGAGGGCTTGGACTATTCTGAGACTTTTAGTCCCGTGGCCAAACCAGTTACCATCCGCATACTTCTCACTCTTGCTTGTCAATTTGATTGGTTTCTCAACCAACTTGATGTTAGCAATGCTTTTCTGCATGGTACTCTTACCGAATCTGTGTTTATGCAACAACCTCCTGGTTTTGAGGATGCCACCAAGCCTCATCATGTTTGCCATCTTCACAAGTCTCTCTATGGTTTGAAACAAGCTCCTCGAGCTTGGTATGAAAAGTTGCATGGTGCTCTTGTTTCCTTGGGATTTACTGGTTCCCAAAATGATCATTCCTTGTTCATTAAAAAGGATCCCCATTTGGTCTTTGTATTAGTCTATGTGGATGACATTTTAGTCACTGGACCCTCTTTTGCAGCATGTCAAACAGTGATTAAGAAATTAAGCAGTTTGTTCCCTGTTAAAGACCTTGGTTCGTTACATTATTTCTTAGGCATTGAAGTCAAGAGGTCATCTTCTGGGATCTTTCTTAATCAATCAAAATACATTCTTGATCTTCTGCACAAGTCTCATATGGATGGAGCCAAACCTTGTGCAACACCCCTGAGTACAGACAAGCTTGATCATGACTCTCCACTTCTTGACAATCTTACTGAATACAGGTCTTTGGTAGGAGCATTACAGTATCTCACCTGGACTCGTCCTGATTTGAGCTTTGCTATTAATCTGGTTTGTCAGTACATGCATCGTCCTCGAGTCTCTCATCTTCAAGCTGTCAAAAGAATCCTTCGGTACTTAAAAGGTACTATTGATTTGGGGTTATGGTTCTCTAAAACTTCAGCTCCCTTGGATATTCAAGCATTCTCTGATGCTGATTGGGCAGGTTGCCCTTTAGACAGGAGGTCCACTGGTGGTTTTTGTATTTTTCTTGGGAGTTCTCTTATCAGCTGGAGTGCTAAAAAGCAACCAACAGTGGCAAGATCATCCACTGAAGCTGAATACAGGTCCCTTGCTCATACTGCTGCAGAACTGTCCTGGATTTCTAAAATTTTAACTGATATAGGCTACTCTCTTCCTTGTGTTCCTCAGCTGTGGTGTGATAATATCTCTGCCATTTCTCTGGCAAAGAATCCTATTTTTTCATGCTCGCACAAAGCATGTCGAAATAGATTATCATTACATACGGGAGAAAGTTTTAGCCAACCAAGTTGCTATCCGTTTTGTGTGTTCACAAGATCAGATTGCTGATATTTGTACCAAGCCTCTGTCCAAATCCCGATTTACACTTCTCCGATACAAACTCTCTCTTCGGCTCCCTCAGTTTCGTTTGAGGGGGGATATTAAGGACAAAAGTGTAAATATCTCTTCAAGAGATATATCTTAGAGACTAAGTAATTGTTACAGGTTGTTAGGACAGTTAGTTTTTTTTGTTAGACTTGTCTTACATGTATATATACTCAAGGTGTAATATTATTGAGGTTAAGGAAATGAAAATATATTTTTCTAATACAAACCAGCTTCATCTTGGAGTGAAGATGTCGATTGACGAGATGGATACTAAAATGGAAACCAAAACTTTGCACAAAACGAAAGCGAGATACTAAAATTATTGTTCACTCAAGTGTTTTACCAAACAACAGGATTTTTTGTAACTCAATCGGAATTCAGAAAATTCGTGTAATAAACGCTGAGATGATACGACAATTTGTGTCATCTCGCAACCGTGTGAACATAAGTTGAATCTTTCTTTTTTGACTTCGACCAATTCTCTTTGATCCTGCAAGCTTGGATCGAGCGTTCGATCTGGACTCCTGTAGCTTCTTTATCCAGTTGAGAGCAATACTTATTGAATGTCTCTATAGTAACTTGCAGTCTGAAATCTATGGTAAACAAGAACTTGATTTCCAACCTATTCAACTCTGCCGTGCTCACTCCTCCCACTTTTGCATAGTATGCATTGTTGAAGAATCTGCAAAACCGGGTTCATCTTTTATATCAGAAGGTTTCACATAACAAAAAAATCGTGTTCAGAAACGATCCACATAAATCTGATTCTAAGATTTATTACTTACGCGTCATCCATAAATTTTGCTGCTAGCATTACACTTGTTATCAGTAGCCGGTGAACATTGAAAGAAGTTAAATGCACTTGCGTGCACTGAAGATATCGGTCAAGGTAGATCTGTGCAACAACGAAGCACGATGGGCTACAACCAGAGTACTTACAGATGCGATCAATATATTGTCGAATGCTCAGAGGGGGTGCTCGTAAACCATGATATATGGTTATAACTTGTTTAATTTTTGTTGTCTCCAATAGCATCTCGTTCCTTTGAACATATCTCTCAAGAATTGACGAGAGAGGTGACAGCACCCGCGGAATTTTCATCACGCCTTTGCCCGATGTCTTGAGCCCCAAGGAAAGGTAAACATCAAGGCTTACAATTTCATTGTCGAGTGCTAAAGTTGCCATATTCAAGCTGGAAAGTAAAACATCGATTAGCAAACACGAAGTTGCTACCCTCTTTCTTTACTCGTCAAAACTAGAAGGGGCAAATCAACCCATTGGATATTAATGGTTACTCATTAAGATCCATTTAATTTGATTTCACCTTACACCGTCGTCACCACTACTAATCTCACCTCTATATGGTGATATCAAATTAAATGGGTCTTAACGAGTATGCATTAACAATTCAATGGGTTGATATGTCACTTTGGTCAATACTAGCATGAAACTAGTTCTAAAATTATCAACTTGAGATAAATAAAATGTCCAAATATATATAGTTGATACGAATTTATCATCAAATCTTCAAAAATTTGAATCCCATGAACAAATTTTTCGATAAAATATAAGAATTTGAAGTCATAGAATCAAAGTATCTACAAATGAAAAATGAACAGACCCAGAAGAGGAAATCAAGAAACTGAGCACACCAAGAGCAACCCACAAATTATCTGATCAAGAAATATATAAAGGATAAACCTTTTCATCAAAATTTAATCAAATCCCAAACCAGAAGATGCAATATCCAAATTCCAGTCACTAATTTAAACAATGCTGTTCATGCAGGGCATATAAGGATAATTTAGAGAGAGAGAGAGAGAGAGAGAGAGAGAGTTTTGCTTACATGAAAGCAAGCAAAGGCAGAACATATTAGCTCATGGAGTTTCTTCTTCCTTCTCTCTGGAGCCAAATCTCTTTTATATGCAAATTATCTGCTGCAGAGTCAGGAGGAGAGAGAGAGAGAGATAGAGAGGAGAGAGAAAGAGATTTGCTTTGCTTTCTCTATGGAATCCCCAAGGCAAAGGCAATGCTACATCTACAACTACTCCCTCTCTTCCTCTCTCTCTCTCCGCATGGAATTGGCAAAAAGAAGGTGTCGGTGTGTACTCAACACCAATTTTTATTAGGAACGGGCTGCAAATGCAAAGACTTCTTATTATTCTTGCCTTCACGGTGGTTAAGTGGGACCCCAAGACTATACCTTTCCTTTTCTTTTCCTTTTCTTTCCTTCTAGTTATTTAAATTTCAGTATTTATCTTTTTGCAAATTTAATTCCATGTAATTAAAAACTAGGCCATGTAATTAAAAATTAGTTAGACATGTAATTAAAGTTAGGAAAACTTAACTTCACGTTTTTACAATTTACATCCTTCAAAACGTCAAAGGAAAGTGTTAATACAATTATTATGTCCATTACCATTACGTAAGATGAGAGATGGAGAGATATCAAATAAATTGTCATTATGCATCATAATTTCTCGTTAGATAGGAACTAAAAAAGTTATTGCATCGAACACAATACATGCATGTACATTGTATAATATTTTGGACAAAGCTATAGAAATTAAATTTGCAAAACTAAATATTATGTCATTAATCTGAAATATGCACGTTAATTAACATTTTCAATTATCAACAATTATATCATTTAATTACAAAATTTTATTTAAAAATTTAATCTTCTTAAAGAACCCTAATTTATTTCCTATCCTACATAATGAGGATCCATCTGACTAAAGAGTATCTTTTACTAATTAAAATATGAATAATCCAAATTCATAATATAATTTTATTTCCCCAGCCAAACAATGCCACAAGACAGGACATGACACCTTTTAGTGGGTCACTTGTAATGATAATGATTGGCAACCAACAATATATACTTAAAAAAAAGTGATGCTACATTATATTTTTAGATTATTTTTTATATAGCACATCTTGTTTGGTTGGACTTCTTCTTTAAATTATTAAAAATGATTCTAACCATCAACTGCCATATTATATGATCTGCAAAAAATGATCTAAAAATTTATCTACCTAACATTTTCAAAAATAAAAAGTTTCAAAAAAATTTGTGACTGGAAGGAGAATTGGATTAATATAAGGTGTGCATCTTGATTAATCCCCAAATGTTAATTAAGTTCAAATGCGTTTATGATTCATCATCCAAGTGGGGTGAGTGGTTGTCTTCCTCCTTTCGTTTTTACTGTTTGATTGGATTTTAAATAACTTATCACTTTGGAAATGTCTAGTCTGGCAGTTATACTTAAGATTTTCTACTTATTTCAAACGTTTTGAGTGAAACAATTACAAATGGGTATATTCTCAATGATATTCTAAACTTTCACCATAAGTAGACATCTGACATTCTATCGTTCATGTGATGAATACGGCACTCTCGATATTACTCAAATCTTTTTTGCAACAACATATGATATTTGACACTTTACGAGTCACGTCACGAGCGAAACTAGCTGGTATTGACATTCCACATTGGCATAGGGCTGAGGGGACAAGTGAACGTAAGACTGCATGTTTATTGTAAGTTTTTGTTTTGTTAGCATTCCCTCCTCATCAGTCCTCAATTCCAGGCCGGTGGGAACAGCCAGCAGATGTCGGATCCGACCGCATTAGAAATATGGACTGCAAATAATGTCGGTGCAGAATTAAATCGAGAAATTGTTATGTCGTGAAAGTTTAGTTAGGAAAACCACATTTTGTATTGCATTATTAGTGAATCATTGAATACGACAATTGACGTGTATACATTACTTATCATATCATATAAAACAAAAAGATAATCTTCTTAATCATTGTTTTACTTATCATATCATTTAAAACAAAATGATAATCTTGTTAATCATTGACACGAATATACCGTTACCTAACCTTTCGTGCCAATGAAATAAAAGCAATGTATAAATTTTGTCTTTATATCCTTGTTTCATTGACATGAAATACCACGTGTTGTTGATTATGTGTGTGAATGAAGATGTCCTTCAAGTTCAACCGTAAATAATAAAATTTAAGGCCCAATCCAAATATCTTCATAGGCCTAAACCCAATGACAAATCCCAACTCAACTTTCCAAAAGCCCAACGCACACCTGTGCCATGACATTATCGTAAATAACTCCAAAACTTAGGGCGTTCATTTTACGAAGAACAACTGCCAAATATCTCTTCAATGTACTTCTCTACTGCAACATGACTAGCATCAGCTTTTACTAGGGGTGGTTCGGGTCGGGATCCCAAACCGAAAAGCTTAAACTCAAACCCAAACTGATCCCTTTCAGGACGAAATTTTAAAACCCGAAACCGAACCGATATTTCGGTATTCCCGAAGTTTGAGATTTTAGAAATTTTTTGGTATTTCGGTTCGGGATTGGATTATACAAAACTCATATATTCAAAATTCAAAATTGTTTTACAAACTAGTTTTTCCAATTGCAGATCAGGAAACAATCAAAATAGATTCAACCCCAATCTTGACAAACCCTAGAAATCAACCCAGCAAAAGAATTTGAAATAAAACCTTATATTTCGAAATCAACCTAGAAATCTCATCACTCCTTGCGGCGGTTGCTTTTTCTACAATTGCTTTGTTCCTTCCACTCCATTGAGCTCCTCGCCGGAGAGGAGTTACGACTATCGAAACCACTGGACTCGGTATACGATGCGGAATCGAAGTTGTTAGATCTTCTGCGGCGACCCTTGGATGACAACGACGGCGCCTCCTTCATACTTCTGTAGAATGAGACTTGACGACGATGCTTCCTTACTTCTGGCGACAACGACACCTCTTTTTTCTGCTGCGACTCTTGGATGACGACGACGTCGTCTCGACGATTGTGAATCAAGACCAAGAGAGATGAGATTGGGTTGAGAATTAAGAGAGTTCGAGAACGTGTGTGTGTGTTTGTGAATCAGAATGAGAGACAGAGACGAGAGGACTGAAAAACTTAAGTTGGATTGGACGGTTGAGATTAAATCTCAACTAATCCAACAGTCCACATAATTCTTAAAACCTATTTAAAATTAAATATATATTTTATAAATGTTTCGGTTCGGTTCGGGATTACCGAATGAAAGCAAATGTGATCCCGAATCCCGTACCGAATTTTTCAGGATCAGGTATCGAACAATTCAGGATTTTCGATTCGAGACGTTTTCGGTTTGGGATTGAGATTTTTTCGGTTTGGTTCGGGATGTTCGAGATTTTTTTCCAGCCCTAGCTTTTACAACATCTTGCAAAAAAATGAAGGTTTTAGTGCACTAAATCCAATGAAGTCTTGTTTCTAGTAAAAATACTTCTAACAAAGCAAAATTGCTTCTTATACAAGCAAAATCCCAAATGGGCCGGAAGTCTTGCTCAAGAGCAATAAGGAATGCAGATTGAAATCATACCCATTCAACATAAGGAGGCTCCTCCGTTGGTTTATAAATTCCGACACTACTTATGTAGAGGAATTGCTTCGCACCAGAGCTTTTCGCCTAATCTGCCATGTGTAACATCCCACATCGACTAATGGAGAGGGGGTGATCTGCCTTATATGTACATGCCCACCTCCTATAGCATGAGGCCTTTTAGGGACTCACTGGCTTCATATTCCATTGGAACTCCGAAGTTAAGCGAGTTCAGGCGAGAGCATTCGAGACTAGGATGTGACAGAATGGTATCAGAGCCACTCTGCCATTCAGTGAGAGTGTGCCGACGAGGATGTCAGGCCCCTAAAAGGGGTGGATTGTAACATCCCACATCGACCAACAGAGAGGGGGTGATGTGCCTTATATGTACATGCCCACCTCTATATAGCACAAGGCCTTTTGGGAACTCACTGGCTTTGGATTCCATCGGAACTCCGAAGTTAAGTGAGTTTGGGCGAGAGCAATCCTAGGATGGGTAACCTACTGGGAAGTTCTCGTCTGAGTTCCTAGAAACAAAACTATGAGGGCATGATCGAGGCCCAAAACGGACAATATCGTGCTACGACAGAGTCGGTCTGGGATGTGTCACCACGAGCCTATATGTATGAAGATTAAAATTGGGATGATTTGTTTCGTTTTCAACCAGCCTCATTTTCAAGTTTCGTACAGGCCCTCAAAATCTCAAGGTGGCCCTGACAACATATTAGTTGAAATTGAGTTCTCAAGCATTGAAGAAACAAACCTCATTGTAGAAAAAGAATATATGGGCTAAAAAGTATATTTCATTGATATGTGAATACGAATATATACAATTACATTCCTTGCATAGCAAGGCATTATCCCTACAAGTTAGGAATACAACTATAATTAGGATTACAATCATACATAGACTTTAACTGTGTTTCTACTTGTCTAACATTCCCCCTCAAGTTGGAAAGTGGATGTTAAGAACTCCCAACTTGTGTAACATAGTCGAAAACTTCTCCTTCCCGAGAGGCTTGGTGAACAAGTCTACCAATTGTTGTGCGTACCAACATACTTGGTTTCTATAGTGCCATCTACAATCTTATCTTGTATATAGTGACAATCCATCTCAATGTGATGAGTTCGCTCATGAAAAATAGTATTGGCGGTTATATGTAATGCTGCTTAATTATCACAAAATAAAACGGAATGACCAACCAAGGGAATGTTCAAATCCTTCAACAAAAACCAAAGCCAAATTACCTCGCAACAAGCACCTGCCATAGCCCTATATTCCACTTCTGCTGAATAGATTGAAACAATTTTTTGTTGCTTCGTTCGCCACGAAATCAAAGAATTTCCCAAGAATACACAATTCCTAGTAGTCGAACGACGAGTGATAGGACAACCTGCCCAATCAGTCACAAAATGCAATTAACTTGGTCTGGTTGTCAGAACAGAATAATAAGCCTTGACTTAGAGTAGACTTCAAATAACGAACAACATGAAGCGCAACATCCATATAAGGTATCATTGGCTTGTGCATAAAACAACTCAAAACACGCACATAATAGGTGATATCCAGCCGAGTTATAGTGAGGTAGATTAATTGTCGTATTAAACGCCGATACTTTTTAGAATCCTTGAGAAGTTCTCCTTTATCAGATAATTTTGTATCGTCTATAGGAAAAGCAATGGGCCGTGCTCTCAGAAAACCATAATCCTTGAGAATCTCTAATGCATACTTACGTTGTGAAACATAAATCCCACGTTTGGATCGAGAAACCTCAATACCCAAAAAATATTTTAAATCACCAAGGTTTTTTATCCGAAAATGATCATGGAGAAAAGATTTTAGAGAATCAATGGCATTGACGTCGTTGCCTGTAATCACAATATCATCCAGATAAATGAGCAAGGATGTGAAAGAAGTACCAAACTTTTTTATGAACAGTGAATAGTCGGCTTTGGATTGTTGAAACCCAGTGGAAAGAATGGCACTAGTGAACTTGGCAAACCATTGGTGAGAAGCCTGCTTAAGACCATAAAATGACTTGTGAAGGCGACACACAAGATTCTCCCCCTGTCACCGAAGACCAGGAAGATGAGACATATAAATTTCCTCATGCAAGTCACCATGCAAGAAAACATTATTAACATCGAGCTGATGAAGAGACCAAGACTGACTAGCAGTAGGAGAAAAAGTGTCATGATAATGAATACCTTAGTGAAACCTTTAGCAACCAAGCGAGCTTTGTAATGCTCAATGGAACCATCAAAATTATACTTCAGTTTGTACACCCACTTACAATTAATGGGAAGTTTGCCAGGGGCAAGGTAGTCAAAGTCTAAGTACCATTGACATGTAAGAATTAAAATTACAAAGTGGATATCGCGTACCTTTGGCAAAACCAGGTTGCGAAGTCCTGCAAAACACACCAAGAAGGAAAAAATGTTACGGAACACGATAATCCATCTGTAAGCTTACCAACCAATCAAAGGTCCACTTTAAAATTAGGGACACATAAAACATCTTTCAAATTAACTGAGGAGGTTAAACAAAGAGTGCCGGTTAAAGTAATAGGAGCTGAGGCACCACTAGGCAAAGAAACAGGAGACAAATGCGAAGCATAAGTATTAACCAAACATGAAGCGGAATAAATAATATGATCAGTAGCGTCATTGTCAAGGATCCATTGACCATGACGAGAAGCTACGGATAACAAACCTTTGAAAAAATCATCACTAAAAACGACATGGGCCTGAGGAGAAGATTATGGGTTGTCAGTTAGGGCAGCAAAAACACGTGAATGCTGTTCGGTTGAAAGGTGGAGCATCGCAACCTGTAGGTCATGCAAAGTGGGTTGGCCTTTCACGTGATGGGTTGATGGAAAGACATGAGCATTGCGGGCCTGGGAGTTGTGATTGAGCCGAGAGGCTTGGGGTTGTTGTTGAGCCTGGAGACAGTAGCAGCCAGTGGCGGATCCAGGATTTTAACATAGGGTGGTCCCAATATAAAAGCTCCAAAAAAGATAGACGAAAATAGTGGTGAACAAATAAATGGCAAACTGCAACTTTTCATTCATAATCTTTATGCTAAACAAGCTAGAAATACTAAATTTGTCCACGACGGGATTTCATGCTTTGAAAATGTGCAATGATAGTTTCATTGTCAATATAAGAAAAAACATATTTCTCAATGTAAACAACTAAACTATCATTTAACCATTGATCTCCCATTCTGTTGCGGAGTGGACTCTTAATGATATTCATGGTAGAAAATGCTCTCTCCACTGAAGCAGTTACAACCGGTAAAACTAAAGCCAATTCAATAAGTAAATACACATATTGAAATACTCGATGCAACCCTTTTTCCACCATTTTCTTAGCAAGATCACTAATGCTTTGCAATTAAGAAAAGTCACTTCTCGAACGCATAGAGTGAATATAATATCGAGTTGATCTTTAAGTGCCGACAGGTCTTGCTTAGTAAAATCTTGAGGGTACAATTGAGCAAGGTGAAGTAACTTTTCTTTGTCAAAAGCTATAAAAGAATCATTTGGACTCAAACTAGCCAAACATATGAGCAATTCGGTACTTGTCTCATTGAAGCGATCATTTAACTTTGTAAGTTGGGAATCAATGACAACAAAAAAAAGCTCAACTTTGTAACGATGACGGTTGGTCTTTTTGTGGGTATTACGGCGCGACCTCCCTTGAGCTACATATGCCTCATCCATGTTAATAATCTCAATATGATGTTGGACATAAAATGACGATACTTTGTCAACCAAAAGATCAAACCCCTCATCATTCCTCATGTAGAGTAGTTGTTCTTTACATGTGTTGACTAAAGACATTGCATTCACAATCTCTTGATCATTCTTTTGTAATGCTTGTGATAAATCATTCATGATTCTCAATATAGATTTCATCAAAAATAAGAGAAACACAAACTCAAAAGATTGTATGTCTCTCAATAACCTATTTGCCGGCCACACTATCATTGGTATTATCATCAACAATCATTTCAAGCATATTGACCACGGACGAGTACATAGAAATCAAACTAATCAAAGTACCATAATGTGAATTCCATCTTGTAGCTCCAACACATTTGAGACTAGTTTCTTGATTTAAGCCTCGTCCCATCATAAGAGAATCATTTTCAAGAGCTTTCATAAGTTCTTTTTGTTGCATCTCTCTAAGTGCATCACGATGCTTACATGAAGCTCCAATATTATTTACCACATTATTAGCCAATAGGAAAAATGTATTAACATCAACATTATCTTTTGCGATGACAACAAGAGCTAATTGGAGTTGATGAGCAAAGTAATGAACATAAAATGCACAAGGTTGTTCATTCAAATTCTTTGTCTTGAGTCCATTGAACTCACATTTCATATTACTAGCACCATCGTAACCTTGCCCTCGTAAATTGGAGAAGCTCAACTCATTGAAATTAATGAACGCATCAATAGACTCTTGTAGTATGTTTGAAGTGGTATCGGGAACATGTTGAACTCCTACAAACCTTTCAATGACTTTCATATTTTTGTCGACATAATGCAAAACCACAGCCATTTGCTCCTTTATAGAAACATCACGTGCCTCATCAACCAATAAAGAAAAGAACATAGCATTCTTCTTATCACTTATGATACTATTAATGGTTTCAATAGAACATGAATGAACATGATCCTTTTGGATTGTAGGAGTTATTAGCTTGAGATTTCCCGGAGCTTTATCTAACACAACACCCTTTATTTTTTCATCATGATCCGCAAGGAATTGCAAGAGCTCCAAATAGTTACCTCTATTGTTTGAAGTGTCAGTTTCATCATGACCACGAAATGAAAGACCTTGTCGAAACAAAAACTTAGTGCAATCAATTGACGCATTCAAGCAAGTGCGATAAGCCATACGAGCTTCTTCTGACTATTTGACCACAATTGTTTCAATATGTGTCTTTTGATTCATTAAATTACTAGCAGCTTCAACAACTTTATTGTGAAAGCTACCAACCATTCCTACATGTTTTTCAAAACATGCTCTTGCGTGCTTCCAATTTTGAAAGCCTACCTCAGTAAAGACGTCACTGCCTGATTGTTCAGAATTGACTTTGAATAGATAGTAATAAAAGCAAAATGCAGCATCTTTAGATATACTATATTCCAACCAATGAAATTCTTTCAACCAATTACCAACGAATCATCGCTTCTTATTCGAATGCAAAGTGAATAGAAAATCATGATCTTTAGCTCTAAAAGGCTCCATTAATATATATGATCTTCGGACCTCATCTCGAATATTTGGAGGATAGTCCTTCATTGGAATTCTTTTTCCGGGGTCTCTCTCAAGATTATCCAAATCAACTTTTAACTCATTTTGTTGTCGAGTGGAATTACCCCCAATTGGATCGGAACTATTTGGAATTGGAGAGGAAGTTGGGGAACTATTCTGAATAGGATTGAAACTATCCAAGTTTGAAGGTGAACTATTTGGAATATAATTGTCCGAACTAATCAATGATGATTTTCGTTTGTAATATTGTTCCATACTTCTAATTTCTACACATATCAATTAATAAAAAAAATCTATATCAATTGATGAAACTAAAATATATGTATGAACTAACACTGTAACACAATCTTCAACAAAAAAAAAAAACCTATAACACAATCCAAGTAATATCATAATTCTAACGAATCAACAATAAATATATATGAACTAACATTAAAATAGATATGAGAAATCCTAAGAAATTAACAATAAATAAGCTTGATGTTGTTCAACAATCCTAAGAAAAAAAATCCTAAAATAGATATGAAAAACTCTAAGCATCAACTGTAGTCTGTTCGGCCCCTTTGTTTTTAATTAATGTTGTTTTAAAAAATAAAAATAAAAACTAAAACTAAAAATCCTAAAAAATCTGTATCAACTAACACAAAATTAGAAAACTTACAGAAATTTTAAAGTTAATGCTGATGGGTGATGGCCTTCGGCTGGCTTGGGAAGTGTGAGAGGCAGACAATTAGGTATATAAAAATTGGTAGTGTAAATGATTGAAAGAAATCAGACTAATGAATGGGCTTTTATTATATTTTAAACGATTTGGTCCCAAACGGCAGAGAAAGATTCGTTAAGGCCCATAAGAAATTGCATGAGCTACTGCCGTTTATTCTTTGTGCCACAAAAACAAGTGCAATGCTCGTTGTATGAGGCAAGTTCGTCCTAAAGGTCTTTGAGGCAAATGAAATAAGCGAAGACAGATGAAGTACCTTGGGAGATGGTGGCGAGTTCACGGTTGAGTTGGAAGATGTGGGGGGTGTTACTTTGGGAGAATCGTTTGCAAGGTCGTCCCATACGGCCTTGGCAATGGTGGAAAAGAGGACGGACTCGACAAGATCAGGCTCCAAAGAATGAAGAAGCCAGGAAAGAATCATGTGGTTGCAACGGAGCCAAGCGGCATGAGCATCAGGATCCTCGAAGGAGGAAGGCTCCTCAACATCACCATTAATAAAACCAAGTTTTTTCTTGGCGCTCAAGGAAATCTCCATACCTCGCGCCCAGGTTGTATAATTATCTCCATTCAATTTTTTGGAGACAAGAACAAGGTTAGGGTGATCATAATGGTGAAGGTAAAATGGGGTATTGCTATCAAAGTCTCCCATGATGGAAGAAAAGGAACGGCGGAGGAAGGTTGTCAAAAAAAATTGAAGAAAAGCTAGGGTTTGAAACTTGCTCTGTACCATGTAGAAAAAGAATATATAGGCTGACAAATATATTTCATTGATACATGAATTCAAATATACAATTACATTCCTTGCATGGCAAGGCATTATCCTTACAAGTTAGGAATATAACTATAATTAGGATTACAATCATACATAGACTCTAACTGTGTTTCTACTTGTCTAACACTCACGGTGTCCAAATCTTTGCCATTGTTATCCGACACAACAATCAAATGATGCTCATTCGAAAATCGTCCCGATCTTCTCAGGTTCTCCCCACACCGTCTTCCCTCCAGCACTTACAATTTCCTTAGAGAAACAAAGAAAACACATTCAATAAGTGTTTCTGAATCATATAAGTGCTTTTGCTAGATGCGTCTTCAGGAATCACTTCCAATGCATATCTCAGCGTGTTTCTAATGAAAGTACTTAGCAGAAGTACTTCGTACAAAAGCAATTCCAAACAAATTCTAAGAATAATCCCACACCGAAAATCTAGAAAGATATACAAAATGTGTTATATATACATATTGTTAGTGAAAAAAATGTGCACATATATTAACTGAGAATCTGGTAAATGGGGGCTTCTTCATCTTGTCTGAGCTCTCTTCACCACTGTCAAATACGGTGACATCATGGCCGGAACCCAGAAGCTCTCTTTTGTGAAGTAGAATCTAATCACCGCGTGCCCGCCGCTGTTGGTATTGACTATTAGGACTTTTTTCTTCTCCCCTGCATTGGCCCTGATGCTAAATGATTGAAGCGCCTGGAAGTTGCAAGGTGTGTAAGGAAAGAGTGAGAAGTTGAGAGGGAGGAAGAGAGTGGAGAAATGGGAGGAGGAGGAGGAGAGAGAGAGAGAGGCGGGGGAGAGAAGAGAGAGACGGTGGAGAGAGGTTGGAGGGTGTGGAGGAGAAAAACAATAAGGAGGAGTATGAAGCAAGAGTGGCCATTGATGACTACCAGTCTAGTTGCTGATTGTATGAGAACCAGCAATGTTTGTTGAAGTTGTAAATACTGAAAAACATATTGACCGGAGAAAAATGAAAAAGATAAAGGGAATAAAAGTAAAAGAGAATATTCCTAGTTCATAAATTATACACGTGTTGTTCAATAAGTTTAACATGTATTTTATTGACACAAAGGGATGGATATTGTAACGTGTTGAGTTTATAATATTAACATGCAACGAGTAAATGTTAGGGTAAGACGTAATAATTCCTCCTATCCCCCACCTCAATAAGGAGAGATAATTTAGTATGCTTAGAACACGGACGGTGCATCATAAATTTATTATACAATTGGAGGAACGCTTGAAAAAAAAAGAACTTTTCTTCAATTATACAATAACATGTAGTGTACTATTTATGTTCCGAGCAAACTAAAAAGTTTCCCCTAAAAAGCCAACTCCCTTTGTTAGTCAAGAATATTGAGATCAATAATAAATTGATCGATTTGACTATTTTTGTAACGTTGGCATTTGGCTCCTCAATACATATCAAACTAGAATATATGTATGAAATATCCCACATTATCTCAAGCACCCTCCAAACCCCCAAAAACTAGCCGTTACTCTTTTTTCCTCTGTTCTCTTCTAAAAAAATGGCAGCTTCAGCGGACACGCCATCGTCTATCCACCTCAACAAGCAGTCACTCATGGATTCTTCTTCTCCGGTATTCAGCCCCTCCTCCGATAAGCGCTTCTGGAGCTCTCTCCGCAGCCGGATTGACGCGCTTTTAGATGATCGCAGCTCCACAATCCCAATTGCTCAGAGCACACAAAATGTTGATCCGTCTCGGCCAATTCAAACGGTGAGTTGTTGGTTTTACTGTAGAATTTTGGTTATTGTTCAATTGGGTTTTCTGCTGTGGTTGTGAATTTGAAAGTTTTTACATTTTTTTTTTTATGGGAAAAGAATGGCGGAGGATCGAAACGAGCAAGAGCGACGAAGGACGACTCATTGCTTTTGATGAGAGGGTTTGATTCCATAGCTCACACTTTGTCTCAGCTCTCGAACACTTTGGATAATGCTCTTCAGGTAAATTTCTACCCTATTTGTAGCTAAGATTTGAACTTTTATGTCAGATCTGAATTGGAAAGACTTTAAAATAGGCGATTTTTTCTTGGGTACGAACATGTATTAAATGCGAACACTTACAAATGATCCATGTAGTACACCGTATGAGACCGAGCAGAAGGTGTAGTACACCGCTCAATGGGTGACGATGATGGTATTTTTAGGCGTTCTTATTGTTGACCCTAAATAGTAATTTTTGAAATTTGCTTTTTGATTGCCTGAACTGTAGAAATTAGTCGAACCCAGATGGGATTTGAGCTTATGGGACTACTTTGTTTGCTGTGTTTATATAGGGAGCCAACGGTCTAGCTAAGCAACCCACATTGACGGAGATATTCCATAACCACCTGAGCAACTCGGAGAAGAAGAGTAGAGAGAGAAGGATTCGGAAGAACAGCAGAATGCAGAAGATTCCAATGTTGGATTGAAGAGGAAATTCGACGACAGCCATTGCTCAGAGGAACAAGGTGATGAATCCCAGAAAGAACATGAGCAAGAAGTCCCGAGAGACAGGAAGCTGAAGAAAGCGAAAAATGTAGGTTTTCTCTCTTTTGTTCAGTGTCAAACTTTGATGAGTTTTGAGTTGGTTGCTAATTGTGTGCTTATGTGTGTTTATCTCTCTACAGCTTGCGATTTCTATGGCAACAAAAGCAGCTTCGTTTGCCCGGGAACTCAAGTCGATAAGATTGGACTTATCCTTTATGCAAGAGCGCTGTGTTTTGCTGGAGGAGGAGAATCGGAGGCTCCGAGACGGGCGGGATAAAGGGTTGAGGCTTGAGGAAGATGATCTGGTGAGGCTTCAGTTAGAGGCACTGCTAGCCGAGAAATCAAGACTAGCAAATGAAAATTCAAACCTAGTTAGGGAAAATCAATGCCTCCACCAGCTTGTGGAGTACCACCAGCTCACCTCCCAAGACCTCTCTGATTCATATGAACAAGTTGTACAAGGGTTGTGCCTAGACTTCTCGTCTCCTCCACGACCGACAGCAGACGAGGCAAATGGTGGAGATGGTGATGCTACTGCTGATAATGAAGTTTCTCAGACACCAAGAAGTAATCTTTTAGGGTTCTCTGCTTCGCTTGATGATGAGTTTTCTCATGGAGATCAGTAGCAGAATGGTTTTGCAGATTGTTTCTTCGGGTTCGAAATAAACTGTTGCAGATGTAAATTTTGATGCCATGGACTTCTATTCTGTGATTTCACTGATTTACCAGAAACATAAGTACATGATCTCAATGGAAATTATATTATCGCTTTACTTTGATTTTCAGAACTTCATTTCCCCACTCAAATTATATGTTAAGGTGATTTCAATGGAAAATATCTTATAATCTAACCTTTTTTCCATATAAGTTTCAAAAACGAGTTCCGGATACCAGTTCTCAGCAAGGAAACATAACAAATCAAAGAATATTACAATTCAACATTCTTCATTAACTACCATGAAAGTTACGACTCATCATTCAAGCAAGGAAACATACATCACACGGGTAACCAAGTACTAAATATTAACAACCAACCAAAGTTATGCTTCAATGTCTAAAGCTACTGCCTACTGGCTTCCAAACTACTGGTTTCATGTTTTACAAGCTAAGCCAGTACAGCTACTGCTTAAACCACCAGGACAGCTTCTTTCTCTTGTCCTTAGATGCTGACTTGCGATCTTGAGCAGAATCCTGAGGAGAAAGTGCATCACATGCTGCTTGAGCTGAGAAATTCATAAATGTTTCAGTAGATTTCGATAAATGAGACCAAAAATCACGTCCTTTGTTTTCGCCATCACTTCAGAAAATGCTTGAGTCCCTTTCTCAAACTACAACCAAACAAAGTAAACATGACAATCACTCACCGCTCGACATATGTAACGAAAGTCCTAGAATTCAAAGTACTCCAAAAAAACCAAGATTATCCTTTTCTTTGGTTTTTGTCCTTTTAAACCTCTGAATGCTGTTATAAACTATGATTTCAAGTTTGGCATGAGCAACTTCCGACTTTGAAGTAAGCTTACGGTTTTCATTTGTCAAGGCTTCAATCTGCACATGTAAACGAAATGTCATATTTCTTGTCAGTAAATAAGAAAATCTTATTCCACAGCAAGGTGATTACATTTGAGTTCATTTTTTCCAAGAGTTGTAGAATATAGTCCATTTTTCCTTCCATGCTTTTCTCGCCCGAGGTCTGTCCTTCCTCCAAGTTTGTCCCATTTAAGGGGGTTTCTCCAAAAGAGGCTGCTCATAGCGCAGATATCGCCTAACAACAGCATTGTACTTGTTGGTCTCTTTCTCGAATGAGATGGTTTGGCAGATTTTCTTGCATCCTAAGGTTTGGGTTAGTTTTCTCCCGGGGAGGGGGGCCAGCGTTTTTGGGTGCTGTTCCACTCTCTCAGGAGAAGGATTTGGTACCCCAGGCTGTGGTTCCTCAGTTTCAGATGATGCATTTGGAGCCTTAGGCTTTAAATTCTATACCAGAATCATGTATTAGTAAAATAAACCATAATTAAGCAAATAAACTAGTATTTGCAGCCATAATATCAACACTAAGAAACAAATTAAAACAAGAAATTCCATTAAGATGTCAAAAAAAATTAACAAAAGTTAGAGCCCGAATCACTTTTTACAGCATATTTATAGTTGACAAGAACTGATTCGGGCTCTGACTTTTGTCATGTTGGTGCTAATGGAGGAGGGTGATCATTTCCTCTTCAATTGGTGGTTAATATTACTCGAATCTTGATTAAAATTCGAAGTACCGATCCATGCCATGAAGGAAACTCCAAAGTCCACATAAACGTATTATAAGGGTGCCTTGTTTTTGAGAAAAGCACGATATTCATTGGCAATTTTCATTGTAAAAGAAAAGAGGACGAGACGAAGTGCATAGCATAGCCTCATTAAAAATTTTGTCAGAGCTTTCAACCCAATAAAAAAAATGTGTACGACGAACAACTAAAACAAGATTAATCAGATAATACAACAATTCATACGTACAGCAACTCCATAAGTACTTCAAATTAAGTGCAAGCTACACTTATATGTAAAGCAAATCGAGCAAGACAGTGCACATCACCATTGGCCCGACCTCAAATAATATGGGTAAACCGTAAAACCATCTCCAATGGCATATACCAGCAACGACTTCACATCCTCAATCACATTACCAAAAGGGGAAAATGTCCAAAATGGTGTTTTACAACAACCAACAACCAAGTCTTATCCCATTGAAAAATGTTGGCCATATGAATTTTAAAATGCTACTGTGCTTGATTTTGTGTCATGTCTTTCGTTTCATTAACTCCAAGTACTCCATATTTTTTCTTAAAATAGTTCTTTGCACCCGAATAATATTTTCACTAACATTATCAGTTTCTCTAGCGACTGGACTAATTAACTAATGAAATTCATTATCAATACCACTTAAGATCAAAGGACTACAATTAAGCATTTGGAAAGTAAATCTTGAAGTCTTATGATGATATGTCCGTATATAAAGTTGTTTCGTTGTGGGATCAAAATGCCTCACTAATATTTATAGCTTATGTCTGCAAATTTAGTACAATAATTAGCAGGCAGCCATTTATCTTGAGGACATGTTGCATGATTTAAGGACCCTATTCATGTCTATTTTTTTGCCTAAGTGAAAAATATGCATGCGTGTTTTAAATTAATGGAGGAAAAAGTTGTCAGATCAAAAGTGTGAAGAAGTGCTCTTTGTTAACATAATTGTAGAAGCCATTAATTCGATGCCATCATCTTTCTTGGTAAGGATCATAAAGTTGAAGTTGACCAATTTATAATAGATTAGGGTTTCGAAAGAAAGGGAATATGCACAAATAAAATTGATTATGATTTTAGTGACCTAAAGGTTATGGGTTTGAGATTTCGAGTTGTGGAAACAGCTTTGCAAAACTCGGTCACACTAAACCTATAACAAATGGTTCATAATATTGTTTATAAGATTGTTAAGTGCTTGTTTATTATCCATTTAGTATTCTTTTGACTTTATTTTTTATTAAAAATTTATAACCGATTTTGTTTGGGCTTATATACATATCTATATTTTGTGGAAGAAGATAGAAAGGCTGAGAACCTAAACTTTAAGGATTTTAACCAGAGGGGAGACAAGAAGAAACAAAGAGACCCTTTGTATTGGTTTACAAAATTAAAAAAAAAAAAACCTCATTTTTTTTAAGGAAAACTAATAAAAATGACTTGAAAAACTATAAGTTTTAATTAAAATGACAAAAATGTGTTGTAAGTGAATAGTACCAGGAATAACTTTTTAGAGTAAAAATATCATTTTCGTTAAAGTGAACAGTACCAAAAATGTTTCGTTAAATTTTTTTTTTTTTTTTTTCTGGTTGGCCATTGTAAAACAAAGGCAGAGTTATGTAGAAGATTTTTAAAAGCAAACTCTATGTCTAGGGCTCAAACGTGTACAAGAGCAAAATATTCTTGTCAGCCTTACGCAAGCCGACCATAGTTTCTTTACTTTGTAGACATTCCATGGTGAATCTTAAACCACTATTTAAGAAAGTTTGACTCAATTATTTTTAACCATTTAGTGTGAAATAGTTGGTTGATAAGTTCTATTTACTTTTATATTATATTATGAAGGAAATTTTTTTATTGAAAAGTATGTAAGAAGCTTGTAATTCAAAATGATTACGACGGAAAGTTGTTTATTGACTCTTGAGATCCTTAGTTCATCTCCTCTATAATATTGCTCATGTAAGGGCAATTTCCAATGAAAGATGTAAAATTCCTTGAAATGTTATTTTACATCTTCGGTTGGCCGGAAAGTTCTCTAATGGAAATATGCAAAATGTACATGTAACATCCCACATCGTTCAGCAGAATAGATCTTGTAAACCTTATATGTATATTTCCATCTTTACCTAGCACGAGGTATTTTTGGAAGCTCACTGGCTTTGGGTTCCATCTCCAAAGTTGAATGAGATTGCAACGAGAGCAATCCCAGGATGGGTGACCCACTCGGAAGTTCTCATGTGAGTTTCCAAAAACAAAACCGTGAGGGCGTGGTCGAGGCCTAAAGCGGACAATATCATGCTATGGTGGAGTCGACCCGGGATGTGGTGGGGGCTTGGGCCGGGATGCAACAATTTGGTATCATAGCCAATCCTTGGTCAGAAGTGTGCCGACAAGGACGTCAGGCCCCTAAGGGGGTGGATTGTAACATCCCACATCGCCCATGAGAGAGTGGATCCTGTAAGCCTCATAAGGGGGGTGGATTATAACATCCCACATCGCCCATGAGAGTGGATCCTGTAAGCCTTATATGTATATTCTCATCTTTACCTAGCATGAGGCTTTTTTGGGAGCTCACTAACTTCGAGTTCTATCGGAACTTCAAAGTTAAGCGAGTTCGTGCGACAGCAATCTCAGGATGGGTGACCCACTGGAAAGTTCTCATGTGAGTTTCTAGAAACAAAACCGTAAGGGCGTGGTCGAGGCCTAAAGCGGACAATATCATGTTACGGCGGAGTCGAGCCCGAGATGTGATGGGGGCTTGGGTCGGGATGTGACCTGGGAAGTTTTCGTGTGAGTTCCCAGAAACAAAACCGTGAGGGCGTGGTCGGGGCTTAAAGCGGACAATATTGTGCTACGGTAGAGTTGAGCTAGGGATGTGGTAGGGGCCGGGCCGAGATCATACAAGAACTTTCCAGTGGGTTACCCATCCTAAGATTGCTCTCGCTGCGATCTCACTCAACTTCGGAGTTTCGATGGAACCCGAAGCCAGTGAGCTCCCAAAAGGGCCTCGTGCTAGGTAGAGATGAGAATATACATATAAGGCTTACAAGATCTATTCCCCTGGGCGATGTGGGATGTTACAATCCACCCCCTTTAAGGGCTCGACGTCTTAGTCGGCACACTTCTGGCCAGGGATTGGCTCTGATACCAAATTGTCACATCCCAGCCCAAACTTTCTATATTAGAAAGGAAAATACACTTATGAGAAGTGTAGAATGAGATTTTTGGAGTGCCAATAACACTTCCCTATTTAAAACTACATTTTTATAATCTCATTACAGCTTGACCTCTGTATATTTTTGTCAATATATTAATCCGATCACACATTTTTTTTTTCCACATTTTTCTTTAACAATCTCTCTGTTGTTTCAATAATGGGTTCCATATATTATTAAGTATTTGGTTAAACTTACCAAAGTTGAGTAAGATGCTTTTGGTACACACTTGTAACGAATACACTATGTTTCTGTTTCAAATGAAATGAAAGTAG